TCTTTTATATTTCTTTCTTATTCTCCTTAACCATCTCTGAGACAGTTGAAAGGAATGCTTTTCTCACAACTGGCACACTGTGGCCAGAAATTAATATCCAGGCCCAGCTGACAGCAGGTCACAGCTTGCAACAGGTCACAGGCTGATTTTTTTTTTTAAAAAAAAAATTGCTTAAGTTTAGAATACAATTATATTTTATTCCACGTGCTAATACACGTTATTATTATTATTATTATTATTATTATTATTATTATTATTATTATTATTATTATCCTATAGCAGAAGGCATGTTTCGCCATGTGATGCCACAACGTGCTAATACATATTATTATTATTATTATTATTATTATTATCCTACAGCAGAAGGCATGTGAAATATAACTATAGTAATTTTTGCACTGTTTTATTGTATTTGTATGTTTTATTTACTTTATTGTGATGTTTGTTTTGTATTTTTTGGTTTTATTTTGTTGTAATGCACTACTGGGTTTGGCCTCATGCAAGTCGCCCCGAGTCCCCTTTGGGGATAGGTAAAGGGAAAGGTTTCCCCTGACATTAAGTCTAGTTGTGTCTGACTCTGGGGGGTGGTGCACATCGCCATTTCTAAGCCGAAGGGCCGGTGTTGTCCATAGACACCTCCAAGGTCATGTGGCCAGCATGACTGCATGGAGCGCCGTTACCTTCCCGCCGGAGCGGTACCTATTGATCTACTCACATTTGCATGTTTTCGAACTGCTAGGTTGGCAGAAGCTAGGGCTGACAGCGGAAGCTCACGCCGCTCCCCGGAATCGAACCTGCGACCTTTTGGTCAACAAGCTCAGCAGCTCAGTGCTTTAACCCACTGCGCCACCGGGGGAAATGTTAAATAAATTATTATTATTACTATTATTATTATTATTATTATTATTATTATTATTATTATTATTTTAAACACAACAAGATGAGTCCACAGCCGACACTCTGCTGGCTGTTGTATTGGATCACACATCAGACACTTCCCAAGGACCTAGGACTGTGTGATGTATCAGCAAATAATGCGTGCAGATCCTAGTAAGGTGGCCTTCTGCAGCTGGCACATCGTAATTTTGTCAGCGCTGATTGTGTTTAAGTGCAGGCCAAGGTCTTTAGGCACTGCACCCAGTGTGCCGATCACCACTGGGACCACCTTTACTGGCTTGTGCCAGAGTCTTTGCAGTTTGATCTTTAAATCCTCATATCATGTCAGCTTTTCTCTTCAATCCTAGAAACACTCCCTGGAACACCCCAGCAAGCGAGAGTCCAAAAGTGGCAGGCTCAAACCCAGCACCTCAACCAATGGCTGATACCAGATGAGAGACTCCCCCCTGGGCACACAGAAGACTGGGCGAACTTGGAAGGCGCTGAACAGACTGCGCTCTGGCACCACGAGATGCAGAGCCAATCTTAAGAAATGGGGCTACAGGGTGGAATCCTCGGCATGCGAGTGCGGAGAAGAGCAAACCACTGACCACCTGCTGCAATGCAACCTGAGCCCTGCCACATGCACCATGGAGGACCTTCTTGCAGCAACACCAGAGGCACTCCAAGTGGCCAGATACTGGTCAAAGGACATTTAACCAACTACCAATTTGCAAAATCTGTGTGTTTTTTTTCTTTTTAATCTGTGTGTTTGTTTTGCTCTGTTAGAATTGTAATACAATGGTATGGTTGCTGATGACACGATAAATATCACCTGGGATTGCAACATCAGCGATCCATACTTTGTTTTTTAACACGATTGTGAGGTCAGGAGTATTGTGCTCCAAAACTCTGTCTGTCTGAATTCAGAAGTCCCAGAGGAGTTTGATGTGTTCATTTTCTGTAACTTTTCAGGCTTGTGATCCCACCAGTTCTTTGTTGCAGGCAGGTGGTATTTGTGGCACAAGTTCCAATGAATCATCTGAGCAACGGTGTTATGCCTCTGCTTGTAGTCTGTCTGCACGATCTTCTTGCAGCAGCTGAGAATGTGATCTATTGTTTCATCTGCTTCCTTGCAGAGTCTACATTTGGGATATGTTGTCGACTTTTCAATTCTGGCTTTGATGGCATTGGTTCGAATGTTCTTGGGCTGCCAGAATCAGGTCCTCCTTTGTCTCCTTTTTCAGAGTTCCATTTGTGAGCCACAGCCATGTTTTTTCTTTGTCAATTTGGCTCTCAATTTTTCCCAGGAACTGTCCATGGAGAGCCTTCTTTTGCCAGTTTTCTCTTCTGCTCTGGATTGTGTTTTTACGGTATTCCTTCTTGTCTTTTGCACTTTAAGCAGTTATTTGAATTGATATCAAGTTTGCTTGAAGGGACCAAATTAGAGATTTAATACTCCAGAGGACAAGATCAGAATTCAAAATGACCTAAACAGTTGAAAGAGCCAATTGGACAAAACTCACACATTTCAACAAGAACATATGTAAGATAGGATTGTTGTAGGTTTTTCGGGGTATATGGCCATATTCTAGAAGCATTCTCTCCTGACTTTTTGCCTGCATCTATGGCAGGCATTCTCAGAGGTTGTGAGGAAGTTTATCATTGCCAGAAGCCTCAAGGTCCTTCTCTTGAAAGACTTGATATAAAGGAGGGAACGTGCTTCGATAAAAAGCAATTGAGGAGATACCTCACGTAAGTTTTTTTATGTTTAAGTGGGTTGCAGTTAAACATAAAAAAAAACCAAGATTCTGGCAACCGGACTGATTGATAACGGGCAAATAGAGGGAGAAAAGATGGAGGCAGTCATAGAATCATAGAGCTGGAAGATACCTCTTGGGCCATCCAGTCCAACCTCCTGGCAAGAAGCAGGAATATTATATTCAAAGCACTCCTGACAGATGGCCATACAGCCTCTGTTTAAAAGCTTCCAAAGAAGGAGCCTCCACCACACTCCGGGGCAGAGAGTTCCACTGCTGAACAGCTCTCGCAGTCAGGAAGTTCTTCCTCATGTTCAGATGGAATCTCCTTTCTTGTAGTTTGAAGCCATTGTTCCTTGTCCTAGTCTCCAGGGAAGCAGAAAACAAGCTTGCTCCCTCCTCCCTGTGACTTCCTCTCACATATTTATACATGGCTATCATATCTCCTCTCAGCCTTCTCTTCTTCAGGCTAAACATGCCCAGCTCTTTAAGCTGCTCCTCATAGGGCTTGTTCTCCAGACCCTTGATCATTTTAGTCGCCTCCTCTGAGGAAGTGACAGACTTTGTATTTCTAGGTGCAAAGATTACTGCAGACGCAGACTGCAGCCAGGAAATCAGAAGACGTTTACTTCTTGGGAGGAGAGCAATGTCCAATCTTGATAAAATAGTGAAGAGTAGAGACATCACATTGGCAATGAAGATCCGCATAGTTAAAGCAATGGTATTCCCCATAGTACTTACGGATGTGAGCGCTGGACCTTAGGGAAGGCTGAGCGAAGGAAGATAGATGCCTTTGAACTGTGGTGTTGGAGGAAAGTTCTGAGAGTGCCTTGGACCACCAGAAGATCCAACCAGTCCATACTTCAGGAAATAAAGCCCAACTACTCATTGGAGGGAAGGATAGTAGAGGCAAAGATGAAGTACTTTGGCCACATCATGAGAAGACAGGAAAGCTTAGAGAAGACAATCGTGCTGGGGAAAATGGAAGGAAAAAGGAAGAGGGTCCGACCAAGGCCAAGGTGGATGGATGGTATCCTTGATTGGATTTGATGGCGGGAGCCCCCGCCCAGAAATTGCTCCACACTGCAGCAGAGAGTTCCGCAGTTCTTGGCTGCCAAAAATTGGAAAAATTGGAAAAAAAACTGGTGTAATGTGACCCAAGAGGCAGCTGAAGCTAAGAATGCACTCAGCCTCTCTCGCTTTCTCTCTAGCCCTGACTTTGTATCAATTCTCAAGTGGAGGCACTTGAAACTTGCAACTTTTAAACTTTCCCGCTTGATACTTTGTGTCCACTCTGATGGCCGAAAGCGAGGAGGAGCTGAGGAGCCTTCTAATCAAGGTGAAAGAAAAAAGCGCAAAAGCCGGGTTGCAGCTAAACGTAAAAAAAAACCAAGATTATGGCAACAAGAATGATTGACAACTGGAAAATAGAGGGAGAAACCGTGGAGGCCGTGACAGACTTTGTATTTCTAGGTGCAAAGATTACTGCAGATGCAGACTGTAGCCAGGAAATCAGAAGACGCTTACTTCTTGGGAGGAGAGCAATGTCCAGTCTCGATAAAATAGTGAAGAGTAGAGACATCAGACTGGCAACAAAGATCCGCCTTGTCAAAGCCATGGTATTCCCTGTAGTAACCTACGGATGTGAGAGCTGGACCTTAGGGAAGGCTGAGCGAAGGAAGATCGATGCTTTTGAGCTGTGGTGTTGGAGGAAAGTGCTGAGAGTGCCTTGGACTGCGAGAAGATCCAACCAGTCCATCCTCCAGGAAATAAAGCCCGACTGCTCACTGGAGGGAAAGATACTAGAGACAAAGTTTAAGTACTTTGGCCACATCATGAGGAGACAGGAAAGCCTAGAGAAGACAATTATGCTGGGGAAAGTGGAAGGTAAAAGGAAGAGGGGCCGACCAAGGGCAAGATGGATGGATGGCATCCTTGAAGTGACTGGACTGACCTTGAGGGAGCTGGGGGTGGTGACGGCCGACAGGGAGCTCTGGCGTGGGCTGGTCCATGAGGTCACGAAGAGTCGGAGACGACTGAACGAATGAACAACAACAACTTTGTGTCCTTCCCTTGCCTGAACCTTCTCTAAGCATGAAATAAACCCTTTTCCAGGCTCCGGAGAGCCGTGAGCCTGGCAGGGATGCCCTTGCGGCACCCCCGGGAGGCTGGATCCCCGTTCGTCAGAACCGCGGATACAGAAACCGCCATTTTGGACCCCCTTATCCACAAAAAAATTACAAGATGGCGGATCGGCTCCGTTTCAATTTTGTATTTTTCTACAACTAATTCTAAGACTAACTGCTATCTTGCTTTTCTTGATTTGGACCCCTACGCCCAGGGAATAATTGTTTTGTTTAAAAGAATATAATTTGACAGCGAACAGCTGATTGTCAAAGCTCTGCCGGCTCGGCCAAAGCAGCTCATTTTCCCCTTGCTGCCGCTCGTCCCTGCTCAGCCCCGCAGCTGGGGACTTGTTTTGGATACCCACCGGAGGCCCTGGAAAGGGGGCCTAGCAGGAGGCCCAGTCCTTGGACGGGACATAGTTCACCAAGGACAGAGCGATGGATTTTGTTGTTTTTCAACTCAACGCCCATCTGCTGATTCCAGCCTGAAACCATGACTCTCTGCTGCGTGGACTGGACTGTTTGCCACAACCCTGGCCATGAACTTTCTATCAATGCTTGATTTGAACTGCTAGCAACCTCCGTTTCCGCACGTCCTTCCTAAGAGCTTGGGATTTCCAGTTTGGGTTATGATAAAGATCGAATATTGAAATAAACTTTATGGGGTGGGATGGGGTTCCCCTTATGAACTATGTATGGAATGTATCGTATGAAATGTAATGTGTTCCCTCCCCGCCTTTCCTTTGACCTTCGCCCTACAAAAAGTGACCAGAAATTGTTGTGATGCCCGGGGGAAATTCTCTGCTTCCCCCGAAACTCTTCCCTGATTGACTTATCAGTATGTAACAATAACTGTTGATTCCCTCCTCCCGCCTTCTGAGCCTGTCTAGTGGGAAGAGGAAGTCAACAGAAACCTGGAAAAAAGAATTGATTAAATTCACAAAGACAGCATTGATCCCTTTTGAGGTCCACTGTCTGACCCAATATTATCTTTCCCCCAAAGCCATTTCAACAGGAAGACTTTTGTTTACAAAGATCACACCTTGCCGGCCTGAGACAAAGGCTTGCTGGCAACTCCTAATCCCATCATTTCCCCCTCCATTGTTCACGGCCGTACCGCCTCCTCTCTCCTGATTTGTCCATCTTGCGAGGCGAGCGGAGGGCGCTCATTGGCCCTCTAGAGGCGAAGAAACGCGCTGATTGGTCCAGAGCAGGGGCAGGCCGCCCAGCCTCCTCCCAGCTGTTCCAGCCTCAGCCAATCAGCGTGAAGCCGGCCGGCAAGGGGCGGGCGGGAATTTTGAAAGTTTTTCCTTTGTATTTTTGCTATAAATATGTCTGTATTCTTTGTACTGGCATGCTTGCAGTGGAATGATTCCTGCAATGCATCCGATATCAGCTGAATCGCAAATAAACTTCGGTCGCTAACTTCTTCCGCCTGGTGAGGTATTATTATCGTTATCTTTTTTTATTGTGGATTGGCAATTTTCCTGGCCTCACCAAGGTATCCAGGGCCCTTTTGACGTGGTCCTCGGGTCCTTCTCTCTTGAGGGGACCCTTGCTAAAAGAAACTCGATATCAGATTGACTCGGAAGGAGCTGGGGGTGGTGACGGTCGACAGGAAGCTCTGGCGTGGGCTGGTCCATGAAGTCACGAAGCGTCAGAAATGACATAAGAGGGTCTGGCTTTACTCATTGACAGATGAGATGAAAGTCCATGAACTATTTGAACCTCAATGTGTATTGTGTGGTTATTCACCCCTCAGATTAACAACCTACACATTATTTTGATAAACTCTAGATTGTGAAAGCGTGTGCTTTCCCAACTAGAATTTGCCTGTACGTGGAGATGTGAGGCTGAGACTGCATCTGGGGCGGATGGGTAGCTAGCCAAGTGGGCAGTATGGAGCAGCAGAAAGTGGCCAGAAGCCACAGCGCATCACAGGTATGCACCCAACCCTATCTCACACCCCAAACACTCTACCCAGTGCTGTTGAGACACATTATAAACCTCATGAGTCACCTGGAAGACAAACATCAGCTCCCTAAAGCTGAAATGAGGCTAATTTCCATGCAAGGACTTACAAAGTAAAAAAAAGTTTAGTAATCACTGTATATAGTAATGTTTGTTGCCCTCTTAAATGGTTATTTTGTGTTAGAGAGCGGTGTTAGGGCATGTAAAAATCAGTTGGTGGTTGTGTTAACTGAAAATGCAAAGCACGAAACTGATTGGTTGGGCTATGCCCGAGGAGCTAGCTGAGCCTGGGAGTTTTGGCAACAGTTACATATTTAGGCTTAAGCTGTGCAGGAGCTAGCAGAGAGACAGTTCTTGCTTCATGAGCTTCTGGAAGAAGGTCTTCAGCATGGACACCCAAAGAACATTTGAATTTCTCTCAAAGGACATTGTGTGAGTCAATGTAACTGTGCTGCCACACGCTGGGCCTGTAATAATTGACTTTTTAAACAGGACGTGCTCTTTGTGCCCAGCGGGGAGCTGGGGTGCCACGGGTGAGAGGCCTTCAAGGATTTTCCCATACACAGTCTTTAAGGCTTGAAATGTTTAACAAAGTTCTTTATTATTGCTTAGGTCTTCAATAAAACAACAAACACTTCTTGGATCTTCAACAGATTAAACAAATGCTTCTTAACTTGCCCCAAAATGGACAGGCACCTTGCTTGGAGAACTATTTCTTTCTTTAACAAGGAAAACCCCTTTTTAACCCCTCCCAGGCAATCTACTGTCTAAGCTTTGCTGATGTGGGTTCTACTACCGGTTCCAATCTGTGTCTTGGGTCCCGAGTAGACCTACCAGTCAAGGCTATGTAGATTCTCCAGCTGGAGTTCTTTGGGTCTGCAAAACTGTTTTCTTCCGAAACTTTAGGACTGTTTCCCTCAGATGCTGTAAAGCTGAGAGGCTGTAAGCTCCCAGCCAGAGCTTTGGGTCTGTTTCCCCCCGGAATTTCTGCCCCGGATGCTGTAGGAAATGAAGCTTTTCTACGGATGGAGCTAATCCACATCCTGTAGCTTAGCTTTCCACTATAAGACTGAACTAAAAATGGCTCCCTCTCTTCCCATGGCCCTGGGGAAAGGGGCGGAACCAAAACTTAACAATGATAGACAGGTGGCTAGCCCTATGATTGCAAACCAAGGGAAGCCACCTTGTTGCAAATGCATGGAACCTTGGAATATATGCAAACACTCAATAGAAAGAAAATGAAGCTGAAGCTCCTGGTACAGCCGTACCAGCACAGTAACTGTTCACATGACTGTATATATATTGCTCTGCATTACAAAGAGTAAACTCCTTGTTCTTTACTGATCATCTGCGTGACATATTTTCTTTTGGTAGCAAGACAGTGAGTGAACTGGTAAAAGCATGAACAACACATGATTTTCTTTCCGCCACAAATGGGTGTTGCAAATGTATTTAAGAATTTCAGATTCTTTGAAAGCTTTTAGAACACAATGCTCAGAATCTCTTGATCCAACATACTCAACGGCCATGTTGACTTGGGAATTTGGAGATTTGTAGAAACAAAAAGGCCACAACCCTGCAACTTGTCAATCTGTTGTCTCTCTTCAAAAAGCCGTTTCTTGTAGGAGCAGCAATGTTTCCATCAGAATGCCACCATGGAGCTATGGAGCTTAACCCTATGGTCCTATGGCCTACACCAAATGATTTCCTGGAAGAAAACAATTTCAGAAACTGTGCTTGGAAATAGCACTATCCTGTGTTACAAACCCATCACACTTGCAAACTGTGCTCACTTTTAAAAGCATCTTGAGGACTAGAAGGAAGTTATTCCTTTCAAACATAAATGGTGGCTTTTTGATGCATGTCAAAAATGGTTGATGACCTAGAATCATAGAATCATAGAGTTGGAAGAGACCTCTTGGGCCATCCAGTCCAACCCCATTCTGCCAAAAAGCAGGAATATTGCATTCAAATCACCCCTGACAGATGGCCATCCCTCTGTTTGAAAACCTCCAAAGAAGAAGCCTCGATCACACTCCAGGGCAGAGAGTTCCACTGCTTAACAGCTCTCACAGTTAGGAAGCTCTTCCTAATGTTCAAGTGGAATCTCCTTTCCTGTAGTTTGAAGCCATTGTTCCATGTCCTAGTCTCCGGTGCAGCAGAAAACAAGCCTGCTCCCTCCTCCCTATGACTTCGCCTCACATATTTATACATGACCCTCATAATGTCTCTTCTCAGCCTTCTCTTCTGCAGGCTAAACATGCCTAGCACCTGTCAAGAGTGACCTGTTTGATGCTTGCCTTTCTTAACTACTCTTATATACTACTAGTAGTATATATTTATTACCTGCCTCTTCTTGTGGCTTGAGTATGGTGTGTTATGTGGTGTCTCAGGTTGTTTTATTCAAAGGCCCTTTGAAGTCAGCCAAAAGGCCGATGTGGCCTTAGGTGAAAATGAGTTTGTCATCCCTGTTAGAGAGAAAGAAGCAGACAATTCAAAATGCATATTCATCGCTGAGCCTGGATCCTCAGGTCTTGGTGGTGGCCACGGGAGCTTTTGCACAATTAAAACTTGTGCACCAGTTGCGCCCATACCTTGGGAAGTCAGACTTGGCCACGGTAGTCCATGCTCTAGTCACATCCTGAATAGACTTCTGCAACATGCTCTATGTGGGGTTGCCTTTAAAGACTGTTCATAAGCTCCAAATAGTCCAACGTGTGGCAGCAAGATTGCTCACCAGAACGGCATACAGGGAGCACAAAACCCCGTTATGGCAACTCCACTGGCTGCCGGTCTGCTACCGAACACAAAAAAAAGTGCTGGCTTTAGCCTATAAAGTCCTAAATGGTTCCAGGCCCGCTAACCTGTCCAAACGTATCACCCTCTATGAACCACCTTGGAGGCTCTGCTCTCAGTCCCACCTCCTTTGCAAGCGCGACCAGTGTGGATGAGAGAGAGAGGGCCTTCTCAGTGGTGGCTCCTTGTCCTCTCCAATGAAATTAGATCAGCACCCTTACTCTTGATAAAAAGCAAAAACATGCTTGTGGAACCAAGCATTTGGGCAGTAAGCAGGACAAAAAATGAACACAGATTATGTGCAATTGTTATTTGATACTGGAATTGCCTGGACCATGCTTTTGGATCATGTGATTTTAATGTTTATATTAATATGTTTTTAATCCCTTGTTTTAATGTTTTAATGTAGTTACATTTTATGATTTAATTGATAGTTTTATGTTACTGTTGTTTTATGTTAGGTTTTCATGTAAGGCACTGAATTTTGCTGTGAATTTATTTATTTATTTATTTGCTTTACTTCTATACCGCCTTTCTCAGCCGAAATGGCGACTCAAGGCGGTTTACATAGTAAAGATTAACACAACAACATCAAAGGCAATTAAAAACACAGTTATACAAAACATATCAAGTCAAAAACAATCATTATCATAAACGTGCGCCTCAGCAAACAAATCAGAATCAGAATCCGTAATCATAATCCTTATACCAATTCCTATGTTCAGTTGTACCATCTTACTGTATTTCATTGCACTATTTAGCCAAACGCTTGTTCGTAAAGCCAAGTCTTGACCTTCCTCCGGAATGCCAGCAATGAAGGGGCCTGTCTGATGTCCACAGGTAGGGCGTTCCACAGCCGAGGGGCCACCACCGAGAAGGCCCTGTCTCTCGTCCCCGCCAACCGCGCCTGCGATGCGGGCGGGACCGAGAGCAGGGCCTCCCCAGACGATCTTAATGTCCTAGTCGGTTCATAGGAGGAGATGCGTTCGGAGAGGTAAGTAGGGCCAGAACCGTTTAGGGCTTTATAGGCTAAAGCCAGCACCTTGAATTGTGCCCGGTAGCAGATTGGCAGCCAGTGGAGCTGGCGCAACAGAGGAGTGGTGTGCTCCCTGAGTGCCGCTCCTGTTAGCAACCTGGCTGCCGAACGTTGGACCATTTGAAGCTTCCGAGCAGTCTTCAAAGGCAACCCCACGTAGAGAGCGTTGCAGTAGTCTAAGCGGGATGTAACCAGAGCGTGGACTACCGTGGCCAAGTCAGACTTCCCAAGGTACGGGCGCAGCTGGCGCACGAGTTTTAACTGTGCGAATGCTCCCCTGGTCACCGCTGAAACCTGGGGTTCCAGGCTCAGTGATGAGTCCAGGGTCACACCCAAGCTGCGAACCTGTGTCTTCAAGGGGAGTGCGACCCCATCCAGCACAGGCTGTAACCCTATGCCCTGTTCGGCCTTGCGACTGACCAGGAGTACCTCTGTCTTGTCTGGATTCAATTTCAATTTGTTCGCCCTCATCCAGACCGTCACAGCGGCCAAGCACCGGTTCAGGACCTGGACAGCCTCCTTAGTAGCAGGTGGGAAGGAGTGACAGAGTTGGACATCATCCGCGTACAGATGACACCATACCCCGAAACTCCGGATGATCTCCCCCAGCGGCTTCATGTAGATGTTAAACAACATGGGAGACAATATTGAGCCCTGAGGAACCCCACAAGACAAAGGTTGTGGGGTTGAACAGGAGTCTCCCAGTAACACCTTCTGAGACCGACCCTCGAGGAATGAGCGGAGCCACTGTAAAACAGTACCTCCAAGACCCATCCCTGTGAGGCGTCCCAGAAGGATACCGTGGTCGACGGTATCGAAGGCCGCTGAGAGGTCCAGCAGCACCAACAGGGACACACTCCCCCTGTCGAGCTCCCGGCGCAGATCATCCACTAAGGCGACCAAGGCTGTCTCGGTACCATGTCCCGGCCTAAAGCCAGACTGTGCCGGATCAAGATAATCCGTGTCTACCAAGAATACCTGGAGTTGTGAGGCCACCACACGTTCCAAGACTTTGCCCAAGAAGGGGAGATTGGAAACTGGCCGATAGTTGTCGATAGTTGTGAATATGCTGGAAATCGCTTTGAGTCCCCCCCAGGGGTGAGAAAAGCAGTATATAAATGAAGTAAGTAAACCAATCAATAAACATTCCTTTCCCCCTTGTTCTGAACCAGATCAAGGTAACCTTCCTAGAATTGGCAGCCAGCCTAGATTCCATTCCAACCTCTTTGCCAACACGAAACACTCACATTGCCTTCTCCCGCTTTTCCCTGAAATTAGATCTTGTGATTAGATCATATAACGAGTTATTAATTAAACCAGATGATCTCCTATATAGCATGCAGCAGGTGCCTTCATTGGATACAAAAAGGCATAGCAAGAGTTAAGCTCAGCTTGCTGTGTATCCAAAGTTCTCCGGCTCCACCCTCAGTCGCAGATCATCAACCTTCTAACCTGACTTGTTTTGCCACAGAGCTCCAAGAGAGAGAGAGAGAGAGATGGATTTCTGGCTGACAGTCCTATGTGCCCTCCTGGCAGCCATCCTAGGGGGGCTCTACCTGGCGGGGGCATTCCGCAAGCGGAGAGCCAATGAGCCCCCGCTGGACAAAGGCCTCATTCCTTGGCTAGGGCATGGTTTGAACTTCAGGAACGACAGTCTCAGTTTCCTGCAGGGGATGCACAAGAAACACGGAGACATTTTCACCGTGTTGATCGCCGGACACTACTTCACCTTTCTGATCGACCCGCTGTCTTTTGGAGCCGTGGTGAAAGAAGGAAGAGCCAAGCTGGATTTTATCACCTATGCTGCTGAACTTGTCCGAAATGTGTTTGCCTTTCGGCCTTCTGAAAAGACCCATAAGGTAATAGAGACAGCGAGTGTCAAGCACCTTAAAGGAGACGGGCTGGAGGTGATGACCCAAGCCATGATGGACAGCTTGCAGAAGGTGATGCTTCGCGACCTGGGCTCTGGAGAAAGTCCTAAACCTTGGAAAGAAGACGGGCTATTCCACTTCTGCTACAATACAGTCTTCAAGGCTGGATATTTCGCTTTGTATGGAAACAAGACTGGTAAAGGGGAGAAGGAGAAAGAAAATGCCTTGAAGCAAGACCTCAAGGAGTCTGAAGACATCTTTAAGGAATTCCGCAAGTATGACCAGCTTTTCCCCCGCTTAGCCTATTCGATGTTGTCTTCTGGAGAAAAGAAAGAAGTCGAAGGTCTCTGGAACTACTTCTGGAACATCCTCGCGGTGAAGAACGTCTACCAGAAAGACAACATCAGTGGCTGGGTAAATGACCAGCAGCAGCAGCTTGCTGAGTCTGGCATGCCCGAGCACATGCGGGATCGGTTTATGTTTTTGCTCCTTTGGGCAGCTCAAGGCAACACGGGCCCGGCTTCCTTCTGGCTCCTCACTCACCTTCTAAAGAATCCCCAAGCCATGGAAGAGGTGAGGAAAGAAGTGGCCACAGTGCTGAGGGATTCTGGTCAGGAGCTGAAGCCGGGCAACGCTTTGCTTAATGTGACTCGGGAGATGCTAACCAAAACCCCAGTTTTGGACAGTGCCGTGAAAGAGGCCTTAAGGATGGGAGCGGCTCCGATGCTGATCCGGGCCGTGCTGGAAGACATGCAGCTCAAGATGCACGACGAGAGGGTGTACTCCTTGCGCAAAGGGGACAAGATCTCCATCTTCCCCTATTTGACCCACATGGATCCGGAAATCCACCCCGAGCCCCATCTTTACAAGTACGACCGCTTCCTCACCACGGATGGCAACAAAAAGGAATTCTATAAGAACGGGGAAAAGTTGAAATACGCCACCATGCCATGGGGCGCGGGGATCTCCATATGCCCGGGGCGCTTCTTTGCGGTCAGTGAGATCAAGCTCTTTGCCTTCCTCATGGTCGCATGTTTCGAGATGGAGCTGGTGAACCCGCAAGACCACGTTCCTCCGATAGACAAAAGGCGGTACGGGTTTGGCGTCATGCAGCCCACGCATGATATCCAGTTCAGGTATCGGATGCGCTATTGAGTGGCACGGAACACAAGCCAGGAGTCAGAGACCTGTCTGTTTTTGGACCCAAATATTGTTGTAGGGACCTAACGTTTAAACATTGATTGTGTGTGTTTTTGTGGGTAGAAGAAAGCACTTGTTTAGGAATGTTTCCTGGCACTGTAAGATTGCAAAGGGATCTTGTAGCACTTTAGAGACTAACTGAGACAACAATCTTGGCAACCTAAGTTTGTAGACTAGGCATGGGCAAAGTTGGGCCCTCCAAGTGTTTTGGACTCCAACTCCCAGCATTCCTAACAGCTTCAGGCCCTTTCCTTTTCCCCCTCAGCCGCTTAAGCGGCTGAGGGGGAAAAGGAAAGGACCTGAGGCTGTTAGGAATGCTGGGAGTTGGAGTCCAAAACACCTGGAGGGCCCAACTTTGCCCATGTCTGGGTAAACAAGGAAATCATCCATACTTTAGAAATATAGCTCTCTGAGATCACATTAACTTCCAGTGACTCAATGTTATGGAATTGTGGGAGTTATACTTTTTGAGTTATCTTTCTAACAAAGCGATGGGGTGTCACAACAAACTACTCATCCCCAGAGTCCCAAACTACATTCATTCAACATTGCAGATCCACCACCCATTTCACATATTCTCTTTGGTGTACTTCCCATTTGTCGGACAGGTTTTGTGCTTCCCGCATAGGGCAACATGAATGATTCATGTCAAACCAGAGTCACCCAAGGACGCTAGAGAAAACTCAGACTAGTATGTGATAAAATGTGAAAAATGTTCCGTTCCTGGTTTGAGTTGTTATTTCCTGTTTAATTATGTAGAACAAATAGTTGTTCTATTCCAGAAACTTCATTTTTGTGGCTGCTATTTTTAACCTTTTGTGCAGAATACAAAAACAAAGTTTTTGCAGTTTAATAAACTTTTCCCCTTGTATTGTTGAAGGCTTTCATGGCTGGAATCACTAGGTTGTTATAGATTTTTCAGGCTATATGGCCTCCATTGGTACCAGTTCCAGAAACAGGCAAAGCATTTTCTCCTGACCTTTCGCCTGCATCTATGGCAAGTATCCTCAGAGATTGTGAGGTGTTTCTAACCTTTCATAAGACATTTTATCTTTTGTGCAGACTACAAAAACAAAGTTTTGCAGTTTAATAAACTTTTTCCCATGCATTGTCAAAGGCTTCCATGGCTGGAATCACTGGGTTGTTGTAGGTTTTTCAGGCTATACAAGAGAGGAGATTCCATCTGAACATGAGGAAGAACTTCCTGACTGTGAGAGCCGTTCAGCAGTGGAACTCTCTGCCCCGGAGTGTGGTGGAGGCTCCTTCTTTGGAAGCTTTAAACAGAGGCTGGATGGCCATTTGTCAGGGGTGATTTGAATGCAATATTCCTGCTTCTTGGCAGGGGGTTGGACTGGATGGCCCATGAGGTCTCTTCCAACTCTTTGATTCTATGATTCTATGATTCTAGATGGCCATGTTCTAGAAGCATTTTCTCCTGACCTTTTGCCTGCATCTATGGCAAGCATCCTCAGAGGTTGTGAGGTCAGATCTCAAAACCTCTGAAGATGCCTGCCATAGATGCAGATGAAACGTCCAGAGATAATGCTTCTAGAACATGGCCATATAGCACAAAAAACTTACAACAACCCAGTTTTTCCGATGTGTTTATGGCAGAATCAATTAGGAAATGGCATTTATAACCCAAGAAAATCATATTACATAATAATAATAATAATAATAATAATAATAATAATAATAAAAGCTTTATTTATATACCGCTCCATCTCCCCGAGGGGACTCAGAGTGGTTCCCAGGTAACATCACAAAACATACAAAGTAAAAAACAACATAACCATAAGATTAACAAAACAAAATATAAGCATTAAAAAAATAGTGTTATTATTACTTAGCAGGGAGGAGCCCCCAGTGGTGCAATGGGTTAAACCCTTGTGCCGGCACAACTGCTGACCTGAATGTTGGGTTGCTAACCTGAAGGTTGCTGGTTTGAATCCGGGGAGAGTGTGGATGAGCTCCCTCTGTCAGCTCCAGCTCCCCATGCGGGGACATGAGAGAAGCCTCCCACAAGGATGGTAAAACATCTGGGCAAGGTCCTCTGGGCAACATCCTTGCAGACTGCCAATTCTCTCACACCAGAAGCGACTTGCAGTTTCTCAAGTCTCTCCTGATACCAAAAAATTTAAGAGGGATTGAATCACTGGCAGTTAATGTGATGTCAAAGTGCTATATTTCTACAGTGTGGATAATTTCTTAGTCCACAACAGACATGGGTAAATTTTGGACCTCCAGGTGTTTTGGACTTCAATTCTCACAATACCTAACAGCCTCGGGCCATTTCCTTTTAAAGTTTAGCTGTTTGTTCACTTTTTCAAAGATCTCTCTTTAACCAGCTCGGCGTGTAGTTTCCTTATTTGAAATGGGGGAAAACCCAGACAGGGTGGCCTTTTTTGAAGACAAAATCTGATATTTTATACATACATAGCAGAAGAAAGGGAGACAGAAGTTTCTGCTACTGACTTTGATGTCTGACTTTGTTTCCAAGGTGCTAAAATAACCCTTTGCATGATAATATTCCAGCTATGTCTTTGAATAGTATGACAGTAAGGTTCTCCATAAATTGAGATTATTGTAATTTCAACTGTTATTACAGTAGTCTCGCTTATCCAACCTTCACTCATCTAACGTTCTGTATTATCCAACACAGTCTGCCTCCTGCCTGGATCCACAGCTGTTTCAATATATTGCGATGTTCTGGTGCTAAATTTGTAAATACAGTAATTACTACACAATGTTGCCATGTACTGAACTGCTTTTCCTATTGATTTGTTGTAAAACATGATGTTTTGGTGCCTAATTTGTAAAATCATAATGTAATTTGATGTTTAATAGGCTTCTCCTTAATCCCTCCTAATTATCCAACATTTTCGCTTATTTATTTAGCAATTTTGTATACCAGTCTTCTCACCTCTATTCGAGGGACTCAGGCCGGTTTCCAACATCAATATTACAGACAGTCATTAAAACATCATATTCTAAATAACACTAAAACATTAAAATAGCAAAATACAATCATATAATTACAGTGGTCAGTCGTCATCAAAAGTCATTATTCGTCGTCATCCATCCATATCACAGGATCATGGCCCATTCGTCGAATGCCAATCCCCAAAGCCAAGTTTTCACCTGTTTCCTGAACGTTAAGATAGAAGGGGCAGTTCTGATCTCCAGTGGAAGGGAGTTCCAGAGTCGAGGGGCCACCACCGAGAAGGCCCTGTCTCTCATCCCCACCAGCCGCGCCTGTGAGGCCGGTGGGATCGAGAGCAGGGCCCCTCCAGACGATCTTAGCAATCTTGATGGTTCATAGGGGAGGAAGGAGAAGGAAGGAAAGAGGAAGGAAGGAGGGCGACTAAAATGATCAAGGGTCTGGAGAACAAGCCCTATGAGGAGCGGCTTGGGGAGCTGGGCATGTTTAGCCTGAAGAAGAGAAGGCTGAGAGGAGATATGATAGCCATGTATAAATATGTGAGAGGAAGCCACAGGGAGGAGGGAGCAAGCTTGTTTTCTGCTTCCCTGGAGACTAGACGCGGGAACAATGGCTTCAAACTACAAGAGAGGAGATTCCATCTGAACATTAGGAAGAACTTCCTGACTGTGAGAGCCGTTCAGTGGAACTCTCTGCCCCGGAGTGTGGTGGAGGCTCCTTCTTTGGAAGCTTTTAAACAGAGGCTGGATGGCCATCTGTCAGGGGTGGTTTGAATGCAATATTCCTGCTTCTTGGCAGAATGGGGTTGGACTGGATGGCCCATGAGGTCTCTTCCAACTCTTTGATTCTATGGTTCTATGATTCTATGTTGGATGAGTGAGATTTTACTGTACAGAAGCTTCTACTACTGGCTTTGATGTCTGAGTTTGTTTCCAAGGTGCGAAAATATCTCTTTCTATGCTAATATTCCAGCTATGTCTTTGAATTGGTATGAGGTTCGACATAAATCGAGATTATTGTAATTCCAACTGTTATTATTGTATTATTATTCAGTTTTACTTTAATACTGCTATGATATGGAGTTAGAGAGCTATTCATTTTCCTCCTCCTCCTCCTATATTTACATATACTTTGTTCTACAAGTGTAGGATGCATCTGCTTAGGGTTTCCGTCCCGCCCCACATTATCCCATTTCACAACTGCTTGTATTTGGATTTCTTTTACTTCGGCCAAGGGTCAGCCTTCCTTCTGTGACGGTTGAGCGCTACTGGAACACAATTGGCTCCATGGAAGCCCATCCCTTCTGTCAATCTTAGTTTCCCCATGCTTGATAACATTGTTTAGTGTACGGCAAAAGAAAGCAGCAAAGCCATCCTCATTTGGAACATCAGAAATAGATTATGATTCTAGGGCCTTTTGAATTCTCAGCTACAGAGGTCCTTGCTTTCTCACACTACATTTTCCAGAATTCTGCAGATCGCAGAAATGCAAGGCTGTCTGCTTTAAATTCCTGGTGTGATAATAACATGGTGAAAGTACTATCAAACCATTATAATTGTACAGTATGGATATGACTCTGGGTGGCTGGGTGGCTTTCATAGAATCATAGAATCAAAGAGTTGGAAGAGACCTCATGGGCCATCCAGTCCAACCCCATTCTGCCAAGAAGCAGGAATATTGCATTCAAATCACCCCTGACAGATGTCCATCCAGCCTCTGTTTAAAAGCTTCCAAAGAAGGAGCCTCCACCACACTCCAGGGCAGAAAGTTCCACTGCTGAATGGCTCTCACAGTCAGGAAGTTCTTCCTCATATTCAGATGGAATCTCCTCTCTTGTAGTTTGAAGCCATTGTTTCACGTCCTAGTCTCCAAGGAAGCAGAAAACAAGCTTGCTCCCTCCTCCCTGTGGCTTCCTCTCACATATTTATACATAGCTATCATATCTCCTCTCAGCCTTCTCTTCTTGAGGCTAAACATGCCCAGCTCCTTAAGCCGCTCCTCACAGGGCTTGTTCTCCAGACCCTTGAGGAGCAGCTTAAGGAGCTGGCCATGTTTAGCTGGGCATGTTTCCTGGTGGAAAACTCCACTTTCAGTATGCTGCATGGGCATAGCAAACCTGCCTGCTTTTCATTTTAATTACAATGATTGCATTGTATATGGAGATCTTGGAGCTCTGTAAACACACTGTATAAGTCCTAACCCAGGCAGTTATATTTGCGATTGTTTGGACTCCCAATGGAGGAGTACAAATATGTTGTCATTCCTGTATCAAAACTGGCTGAGTTCCAATTGC